TTAATCATAAGAAGTAAACACTGAGCGGAACGGGACTTAATCCTAGGTTGTTGTTAACTATAGTTAATCATAAGAAGTAAACACTGAGCCGAACGGGACTTAATCCTAGGTTGTTGTTAACTATAGTTAATCATAAGAAGTAAACACTGAGCCGAACGGGACTTAATCCTAGGTTGTTGTTAACTCTAACTAACCAGAAAAAGTAAAATATGAGCGAAGGAAAACTTCAGTCTTCATATAACTGATTTATTATACACAAAGTATTAATTTCTCATAAATCCAAAAACGGGCTTGATATAGGTAAAGTATTAGCCCTATAAAGAAAGTATTATTATCTCCTTCATCGCCATCATAAATGTGAATATATAGGAACAGTTGCTGGCAATTAAAGTAATTAATTATACTTTCTAATATTGTTTCTTAAAGTTAAAACAATATAGACAGCTGAATAACATAGAGTTAAAACAATATAGACAGCTGAATAACATAAAGTTAAAACAATATAGACAGCTGAATAACATAGAGTTAAAACAATATAGACAGCTGAATAACATAGAGTTAAAACAATATAGACAGCTGAATAACATAAAGTTAAAACAATATAGACAGCTGAATAACATAGAGTTAAAACAATATAGACAGCTGAATAACATAAAGTTAAAACATTATAGACAGCTGAGTAACATAAAGTTAAAACAATATAGACAGTAGAATAACATAGAGTTAAAACAATATAGACAGCTGAATAACATAGAGTTAAAAAATATAGACAGTTGAATAACATAGAGTTAAAACAATATAGACAGTAGAATAACATAGAGTTAAAACAATATAGACAGTAGAATAACATAGAGTTAAAACAATATAGACAATAGAATAACATAGAGTTAAAACAATATAGACAGCTGAATAACATAAAGTTAAAACAATATAGACAGTAGAATAACATAGAGTTAAAACTATATAGACAGCTGAATAACATAAAGTTAAAACAATATAGACAGTAGAATAACATAGAGTTAAAACAATATAGACAGCTGAATAACATAAAGTTAAAACAATATAGACAGTAGAATAACATAGAGTTAAAACAATATAGACAGCTGAATAACATAGAGTTAAAACAATATAGACAGCTGAATAACATAAAGTTTTAACTCTATGTTATTCAGCTGTCTATATTGTTTTAACTCTATGTTATTCAACTGTCTATATTGTTTTAACTCTATGTTATTCAACTGTCTATATTGTTTTAACAATATAGACAGCTGAAAAATATAGAGTTGGAACAATATAGACAGCTGAATAGCATAGAGTTAAAACAATATAGACAGCTGAATAACATAGAGTTAAAAAATATAGACAGTTGAATAACATAGAGTTAAAACAATATAGACAGCTAACTTTAGATGATAGTTCCATATTCCAGGTATAAGATCCGCTGTCCTCGCACATTTACATAAACTAAATAAACAGTAATAAATGAACATTACACAGAGTAAACGATCCTGTATTCCTAGAATTCTACTCATTAAAAAGCGCATTGGTAGATGTTTGTGGCTAGAGCCCACACATCATCGGAACGACTGTACTTCTGCTACACTTGTTATTTCAAGGTATAAAACTATTTAGCTGTATATCGATTTCCCTTTTACTTCCAGTTCTTCAGATGGGCTGATACACGTGCAACTATTGGCTGTATGCGACACATGGCCGTGAACGACCCTATCACATAAATAAATAAGTCTTTATAAATAAGTTTGAAAGACCTGAGTAGTTTTAAGTGGAACTCAAACTGTAAGGGCTAATGTGATGAGACAAGATAAAAGTTTTCGCAACTCGTGTTACATGTCTGTCTGTCCGTTATTAGTTTCATCGAGCTTATGTAGTTTGAGTATGGTCCACGGTGAAGTAGAAATAAACTCGTTTTGACAGTATGCTGACTAAAAGCTACTGACAAAGTGATATATGGGTTTGTTTATATAAGGGATTCTGAAGTTCATGCGTACACTCCGAAATATATTTTTTTTGTTTTTGAATTTCGCAAAAAGCCGCTCGTGGGCTATCGAGGGAAGACAGCTAGTCGGCACCACTCACCGCCAACTCTTCGGATATTCTTAACCAACGAAAAGTAGGATTTACAGTCACATTATAATGCCCGCACAGCTGAAAGGGCGAGCATGTTCAGTGGCGGAATTCGAAGTCACGACCGGCAGTCGAGTTCTCTAACCTCCAGGTCACACCAAACCTGCCCAAAAGAAAACAGTACATCATTTACTATGTTGTAGCGCTAATATTCTCATCATTTATCTGAGATAACGCTTAGAATTATAATTTTGAGGAAGAGATTAAGTTTCCTTTAAGTTCTTTCCAAAACATTTGGTCAGTGAGTTGATAGAACGTGCATTAAAATCCGATTTCGACTTCTAAGCAAGAAAGTTTATCCCCTTTTTGAACTTATCAATTAATTATCCTGCTGGCTGGTTGATCCACCTCCTAAATGTTTAAAGTTCTTGTCTTTGTTTTTAAGTTAGTATAATGAAAAGGTTGAATTAAAAAACTCTAGCACTTTCATCAGGTGGATCTGTCGTCTTTGGCAGAGTAAAATAATACAAGAAAGTTTATCAGACATTCCAAGAAAGGTTGAAATCAGATACATAATTATAGTTATTAAATAAAACTACTTTTTTTTTCTGTGTATTTCACAGGACGTTTTTGCCTAATGAACATGTTTCAACATAAAAGCGTGTTTGAGCATGTTCCAATACATAATCATGTCTGAACATGTTCCAATATAAAATCGCGCATAAACAGT